ATTATTTGATACTCTTTTTGTGTTTTTTTTCCAAAAAATTTCTCTTTTCTTTTTCTTTTTCTTTTCTTTCTTTTTCTCTTGCTTTTTCTTTTCTTTTTCACAACCGCATAGCAACCAACAACATTAGTGAGCAAAAATTGCTCTCTCCAATTTGAATTCAACCAACATTAATGTGTGAATACTTTCTGTTTTCTAAGGCAAGATAAAAATTCAAATAACAACACAAGGTTGAGAGTTCAAGAAGACAAGGATCAAAATCCATTCAAAAAGTGAAGTAAATACTCAGACAAACATCAAGTTCAAATGTAACATGGATATTGGCAAAAAAGCTCAAAGAGGTTTAACAAATGCTCACACACTCACAGGGTGAATTGACTATTTGGCCAAGTAGTTGTGCTCAAAATGAAACAAGTGTCTTGATCCTTTTCATGCTTTCATATAATCAATACAAATAGAAGATTAAACATAATAAAATCTAGCTAAAACAAGAATGTTGGTACTCCGCGCATATATGAACAATGGAAATCTTCCTCACACTTGGGGTAGGAACTAAAGTGATTCAATTCATGAACAAGTAGTACGAAAGAATGAATGACATGGAATTTGTAAAAAGCCTAAGTTTCATGTACATGTAATAGTCTAGAAAACGATAAATGCATACCTTGGAAATGTACCAAACTTTAAACAACATCATTACCATGCATTCGCAAGTTGAAATGATCAAACTTGGAAAAATCAACTCAAATTTCCTCAAGCTACTCAAAACAAGCTCTTGGACAAACACAAAAATTAACACATTAAAACAACTACTGTGAACATACTAAAAGGTCGGGTGAAATTGAATTAAACAAGTTGAAAAGTGAAGATTTGAGAATTTTAAGAATTGATCCAATTTTAACTTGTTTAACCAATTCACCACACTACCTATACTAATACAATAAAAACAATAAAGAAACTAAAAACAATATAACATGTTTGTTTTACATCGTAAGCTCAACGTCTATTATTTACAAACCAGCACGTTGCTTCGGAAGAGCCAAATGCTTTCACTCCCGCCTTTGCTCTCATCTCTTTGAGCTCTAACTGGAACTACACATCTAACCACACTTTTGGCAAACATGAAGAGAAACAAATATATACACTATATTCATAAGTATGCAAAACATGTAAAATTCATAAATATGGTAAGTATAGACAAATATCAATATAAACAAGTGAAAATAGACAATATATACGATATCTACAAAACTCAAAAACAAAGAAACTATCGCAATGCGATCCAATAAAAACACCAATCCCCGACAACGGCGCCATTTTGCTGGTGCGGTAAAGCGGCAAGCAACAAAAGATTTGGAAGTATTTATCCAAGAAATTTATCGTGTCCACAGAGATTAGTGTTGTTGAATTGTCGTACGACAATTTAAATGTTATTAAGTTTGTGTTAAAATGAGTTTAAAGTAAATACGGAAATTTAAAGTAAATGTATAAAAGAATTAATTCTTCGGAAAGGATAGAAATCTCGGGATTGAATTTCACATACCCGTTAAATACTTAAACTTACTAACTAGTTGTACTCAACTTACATCACTTATCAACATTATCACGTACCACTCGCTACAAGGTTATTTCTAACACAAAGTTGAGATATCTATTGTATCACTCGCATCGACGATCTTTTAGTACAACACGAACAACACATAGGCATTAAGAGTTGATACCCATATGAATATTAAACCTAAATCTATCTCTAGAGTCTAAGCCCAATAAATGTTCACCCTAAACCTAGATTTAAACCGTACATTTCTGCTACAACTCAAACCCAAATCAGGAAAGCAATCTCAATATTAATTTATAAAGAAAGCTTCATACAACACCATGAGTAATAAATATACATATAAACAAAGCATACTTACAAACAAACCCCAACAAATGGTACTTACAAAGAGAAAAAAATGGAGAAGAAACCAAATTTCTCGCGGTGTCAAACACGATCAATCAAGCTCCCGACTCTGGATCATCCGATTATCAGCAATAAATGTTGTTTCCTAAGCTCTAAAACTATGAAGAAATGAAGTTTGGATGAGTTGGGACCAAAAATACCCAGCCCATACCTATAAAAAAAAGTGTTTTTAGCCCTTTTAATGTGTTTCTGCCCAGACAAATTTGTCCGGCGAATAAAGACGGTCTTTTTTGCAGCTTCAGAAATCTCTTGATCGCCTCAACTTTGCCCGGCGAGCTTGGGGCGAGAGCTGACAGTACAACAAAATCCTGCACTTGTTTTATTCATAACTTTTGAACCGTAATTCTGTTTGAGACCCGGTCGGAAGCGTCAGAAAACTTATTCAATGATTTATATGAATATTTAAAAAAAATATTCTTACTTGAATACCTACAATAATGAGAGAAAAACTATTAAACTCAATAATATTTACATGATAACGCGATATATACACTATAATTTAAACTATACAACATATTCATACAAGTTGAGGTTTATTGGTTGAATTAAGCCAATAAGTGTCAATTATTCACACTAAATATCACTTCAATTTAGCACTTATCAAGCTTTGAGGGGTAAAAAATTATTCGGAAAGAATGCTCATGAGTTATGCTTAGTTCATAATGTAAAGATCTCACTTAAGTTCAAGGTCCCTGACTTTGAATAGTATAAGGGTAACTCTTGTCCGTTGAGCCATTTGACTATGTATGCTCGCAAAATGTCGACTCAGATTGATAATCATCAACTTCTCATTCACTATTTTTAAGACAGTTTATCTGGTGCAGCCTTGAAATGGTATATGACACTCAACAACGCTCGAATTCGCACTTTCGAAAATTTGGGTGAGACTTTTGTAAAGCAGTATAAGTATAATAAAGATATGGCTCCCGATCGTGATCAACTTCCAGAAAACAACTTTTTCACGCAATTTTGTGTGATCTCTCTGATCATTGTGCATTAAAAATACATTGTGTACGTTATTATTGACATAAGACTGGCTCTCTCCCAGCAAAACAACCATTACGCCTGCCAACTGTTTGAGAAAATGCCCCAACCAGATATCTAGCTCCTCAACGCCATGCCGAAGCTTTTATTTTTCCTTGGAATAACGTTGTGAGTATGAGATGGAAACAGTGGTCCACGTGTCAAGTTGTTATAGGAGAACAGTATCAACCGCCATAACTAACTTCTATAACTAACTCCTACAAAAACTAGTAAACCTCTCATTCATCCAAACCATTCCTAGTTACAAACTTTTCAACACATCAATGAGCTTCAACAGGATCACCACCTTTCAAAACGGATGGCAGCCTTTGCACAAAGGTATCATCAAGCTCTTCAACATTCTTGAAGGCTCCCAGCCTAATTTCACTCCCTAGGAACGCATGAATCTTTACACGTATGCATCAATCTCTCCGAATAACAATTAAACTTGGCTAAGATGATGTTCAAGAATTATGCTTTTTTCTAACTTGGATGTTGATCAATCTATTTTCTTAGTTTTCATCACTTTTAAGCATTCGAGTTGGTTATTATTGTAAGTTCTTGGTGAATTCAACATGGTTACTGCTTGTATCATGACTTTGTAATACTTCTTTGCTCAATCTTGACACTCCTTGTACTTAAATTGTAATGCAGGATCGTGTACAATATATGCAACTACAACTATTACCGAGAACTATCTAACAAGTACAAGGTGTTAAGAGTCTCACATCAGATAATATATGGTATGAACATGTCTTTATAAATGGGAGCAATCCTCACTTTACCAATCAATTTTGTAGGGTTGAGTTAGACCCAACCATAATTTCTAATGTACTTAATTAAGTTAACGTTGGATTTCTACATACAGTTTTACAAATGCACAAAAAAGAACAAGGCAGAGGTGAACTGCAGCCCAGCTGCTTAATAGGAGAGACCATTTCTGTTGATGATGACGTTGATGACATTTTTGTTCATAAAGTGAGTAGCAAAATATTGACAATGATTGTTGAATACTGCAAGAACAGAAGCTATTATAAACTAATGAAAGGGGATGCTAAATTTGTGGAAGTTGACCCCATAACTCTGCTTGATTGTGTAAGTAAATCCTTATGCAATCATAAAAGACTTAAATGAATAATTGATGGCTTATATCATTCATAAGGTATGGTTTATATCATTCATTTAATTTGAGGTTGTTAGTAGTCCCGGTCTGATTTTTAAACATTGGTCCCAACCGATGGGGAAAGTGAAGGATTTCCCCCTCGGTTATCATACTATCCAATGGAAAAAGTGAGGAATTTTCCTTCTCAATTCACACCCCAACTAAAGAAAAAAGTGATGCACTCTTCACTTTTTCATCTCAGCCAATGGTCCAAGGTGAAAAGTAGCGCACTCTAACACCTTTAGTTATTTCGGACCTCCAAACAAGATAAAAACTATTTTTTGTGATAGGGATTGTTGTTGTGTTATCAAAAAGTTTTTTTTAATTCTTAGACAAATCACTTGTCTCTCGGTCCTTGTGTTTTTCTCACCTTTAAAATAGAGTCTTAACCTAGCCAATGAAAAATTTTAGTGGTTTCAGCCGTAGCGTTCCATTGACGTGTCAAATTTATCGTCGAACTTGAAAAATTATATAGATCAGATAACAAATCTCAACGATGATATTCTTTTCTTCAATTTGCACGAGCTCATATTCTATTTAATTATATATGCATATGTATCAAGTGTTTTATGTTTTTTACATTAGCAATGTCGATAAGTTCGTCAGTATCGTGTTTGGTATTCATAATGGATTATGTGATTGTTGGTAGATAATAGTTGCGACAACAAATACTTCTTTTCATATAGAGTAATCAAGTTTGTCCTTTAAAACCAGTGAAATGATTGATAGTACAAATTATGTTGATACAAAGGGTTACATTGGTGGCTAAAAATTGCAACTATATATTAAAATGTAGACCTATCTTCCAAAGTCCATCCCTCTACAACCTTCTAAAATCTTTCTTCTAAAGAGACTCTAAGATTCCTCATAGAGCTCTTTGATTTTCTCAATTTCATCATAGCTTCCAAGAAATATTGGTGATCTATCATGTATTTTCTTTGGAACCAAGTCGAGGGCCTGCAAAACCATAATATTATATGTTTCATGTTCATTTAAACTTTGAAGGATGCATCATGTCAAAGTCAAGGTATGTAAATGCAACCACTTTTAATGTAATTTAGTTACAAATTGAACTGTTACAAATATAGATATTTGTAACAGTTTAAACTATAGAGGAAAGATAAAAAATCATACCCTTTGTTTTCCTGTGAAAGCTTGACCTCCTGCTTGTTCCATCAAATATGACATTGGAAACACTTCATATAAAACCCTAATTTCACAATCAAATTTCATAATCATCAATTATTAATTTCAAAATATCTGATTTTTCACATGGGCTATAATTTGTATTGAGTACTTGACGAGTCGTGACGCAGAACTCAGATTTATTTTATTTTTTTACGAGAAATAATGTTACTAATCTCGCGATAGGTTAGGTTAGGATCTTACCTTAGTTTTCCATTTGGGTTTTTGATATCAGCAGGGTACATGAAGATACCGCCATATAGCAATGTTCTATGGATATCAGCTACCATACTGCAATATTCATTCTTTGTTAGAACACAAAAATGAAACACTAAATTTTAACAAAATCGAAGAAAAACTATAACAAGTTCAAAATCATATACCTTCCAATGTACCTAAGAGATTTTGGTGATGAACCATCTTGTGGAAACTTGCAATTTGCTACATATCTAAGAAAAAATTCCAATGATTCATTTCAAAAATAATTCAATTATTTCAAATAGTCCTAATGTGACCGAATCATCAAAACTTACTTGGTTGTTGGTTTATCCCAGTTTTTCGCATTTCCTTCATTCACCGAATAAATCTTTCCTTTCTTTGGTACCTTGATATTTGGATGAGTCAATATGAACTCTCCAAGGGAAGGATCAAGCGTGAAACCATTCACTCCATATCCAGTACTAAGCACAAACTGAAATCCCACCGTTTATTCAATCAAAATCAAATACTCAAAACATGTAAAATACATCAATATGACATGTAATTTTGTTATTCGATGTCGGTTTTTTACCGTGCAAGAGCTTCCATACATGCAATAACCAGCTGCTACTAATTTGCTACCAGGTTGCAATGCATCTTCAATGGTAACACTATTTGTATCCTTCACCATGTAAATACCAAAGATAGTTCCTATAGAAACTCCACAATCAATGTTTGAGGATCCATCCAAAGGATCAAACACAACAATGTATTTGCCACGTTGCGACAGCGGCACAATGATAGCATCTTCGTTCTCTTCGGAAACAAGAAGGCATGTTCTTCCACTGCTGATCAACGCTTTCACAAATACTTCATTAGATATCACATCCAATTTCTTTTGTTCCTCGCCCTTAAAATAAAATAAAATACAAAAACTCATTTCAAATTTATTGAATAATCAACGTATCAGATACATATAACTAACTAGTTTCTATATTCGGTTAAACAGTTACCGACTTGAATATTGGTGTCTCCGGCAAGTCCTAGGAGTTTTGCCAATCCTGCCTGTGAACAAAATAAATCATAAAATTGTTGAACAAATAAGAAAGAAAATTGAAATTGTAAATTTTCTCTATAAAAAAAAAGAATGATGAAGAAGATTAGCACCTTGTTGACAGAAGAGCAAACGAATTTGCAGCCAAGAACAATGTGACTGATAAGGATGGTGAAATCTCCGCGTGATTCAGGAAACTTTGATTGTTCGTTGAGAACAAAGCGAGTAATTGTCATCAAATCAGTTCTGTTAGCTTCGGCTTGATGATCCATTTTCGAAAGCAACAAATTGTGAAAATTAATTGAATGAAATTATTTTGGTGATGTGTTTTGATTGAGATGAATATGAAGAAGGATAAAGCATATTTATAGGCTTATAAAAAGTATTGTCAACGAGTGAGATAAGAACAACACATGGACACTGAGCTGTTTTCATGGTGGAAACAATCTTCTTTTTCTTGTTTCAATAAATTAATTAATGCTTTCCATATATAAAGAGTGTTAAGTTATCCTATTATCTAAAAAGTTTAAATTATCCTCAAATACAAAATAGAGAAAATAGATTTTTACATTATTCAATGACAATCATGAATTTTACTATATTATATTAATATTTTAAAAAAGAATTAATAATTTAATAAACTGTTAATTTTTTATTGGATAACATAATAAAACTATTTTACATTGTCAATGTATATCAATTAAACTCTATAAAATATACATTTGTAATTACATTTTCTCTTATATATATCTTAAAACTTATATTTACTTTTCGTGTTAAGTATTATATTATAGTTTATTTTATTTAACCTTACAATTTTTTGTTTCTTTATTTTAAAAAACAGTTGAATTTTGATTTTATATTTTCAAATCCATAATTTTATTTCATTTTCTTTATCAAATTTTAAATAGTAGTTCCTTTATATTTAAATCTACAATTTTGAACATTAAAGTGGACAAAAATTTGTCGGAGGTAATTTGAGATTTAAACCTGCCACCCCTTAAATTATATTTGTTATGTTTCAATCTTTTATATTTTTAAAACTGTTTTTGGGTAAAAAATGGACCAAGTTTTTTTCCAAAATTTCTAGTAGTTATAATAAAATTTCTGGTACTAAACTAAATTTCTAATAGTGTATTTGAAATTTTCAATATAGTGAGAATTTTATAATTTCCGGTAAGTTTCAGTCAGTTCCGTAAATTTGAAATTTACATGGTGATACTGGAAATTTCAACTTGAGTGATTTTTTGTAGTGTTATTTGTTTGTTTTTTTTAGATGTATAGAATTTTGCTGACAGTTTTGGATGGTTGTGATCTCACCAACAGTTTTATGTGGTCCAAAGTAAATGTAAAGTTGTATAAATAGGAGGTCACATGTTGTTTGATGAACACATCTCAAAAAATGTTTCTTCCTCACTTTTTTATTAAGGCAGAAGTGTACTTCATCGGAGTTTCTCCTCTTGCAGAGTTTCGGCTTCTAGATGGCATCACATCTCTTGTCGGTCTGACGTCTAAGTTTAATGAATTGTTGTTTGATGTCGAACACATAAAGATGAGAAAGATCGAGTTTCGTGAAGATTGGATTGATACTAACGGGAGGGTGAAATACTACCTTATTGAGTTGAAGACGACGAAGATGTGAAGGAAATGTGGAGATCATTTTTCCGTATGATAACAAAGGGGTCGATCGAGTTAGATGTAAAGTTTTCAAGATCTATTGACGACATAATGGAGATGTTGAAACGTCCAGAATCGTCTGGTAGTGTTTAGATTTTTCTTATTTATTAATCATATGGTAGTGTTAATTTTTTTTTCTATTTATAATCCATTGTCATATGTTAGTTAATGTTGACATTGCAATTTAAGGAAAATCAAAAATATTAGCAAATAAAGAGTTATGATGAAGATGTCTGAATAATATACAAATAATACATAATACAAAAGATGTCTAAATAGGTCCCCACGGGCTATGTGTGCAGTCTGAGATAATCCAGTTTAAACCCCGCCATCTGGGTTTACCAAACCCGTAAGGTTATCCATAATAACTGCAATCATCTGGAAGTATTGCTGGTCATTGGCATTATCTACTGAAGGAGGTGGCGGCGGCACGTCATCAACAGGTACCCCGACATCAGAAGGCTCAGCATCAGTTAGAGGTGGGGTGACACGAGGGTGTGATAGAGTAAGGTACTATTCTAAGTAATCATCCTCACACTGTGATGGGTTCCGAACAGTGATTGCTCGATCTCTAATGGCACGACCAAAGCTAGTGAAGTTACTCTAAAACCACCAATCAATACCTGGAGATGGTATATATGGAGCTGGTCGTGGAATAATCTGAACATTATGAGCGCTTTTGTATTTTAATTGATTTCAAAACTAGGAAAGTGTAGCGTTATATATATTGGGACGGTATCCTCCCATTCTAGATGTGCATCTTGACATTAGGAAGCATTTAAATGAGTTTGAAAAGGAGTCAACATCATATTTGCATTGAAAAACATGTTTTTGGACATTTAAGTCACTTCAAGTCGATCTATGCATGAACAGGCCAACCTATACGAGCCTCAGCTTCAGTATAGGCCGACACATAGATCCTTCAGGTCGGCTCCCATGGAGCAGTATTAAAGCATGTAGGCTCTGCCATAGGTTGCCTTACAGGCTTCCTGACAGGTCGACTTGACAACCTTCACAGGCCGACCTGACAACCTTCACAGGTCGACCTGAACAACCTAAATAGACTGACCAATTTCTTTTATAAGCCGCCTTATACGTTTTTCCCATCCAAAAATTTCAGTTTTGCTCCAACTTTTTGCATTCTTTTTGCTCATTTCTTCACATGCCTATATATACTCATACATGCATCTTCTTCTAGGTAAGATTCCTAGTGAATAAAGCCTAAACAAAACCAGATTACAAAGTTTCCCATCATCTTCATCCCTTCTTCTATTCATACACATAATTGAACTACACATAATCATGTTTCGATTAGGTGACCATCTAGATTAGGGTTGATAACATCCAATTAGGTTTGGTGTAACCGAGAATATTGGGTTGAGAACTTTGTGTGTTTCAAATAAGAAAACCAAAGTGGGGTTTTCCTTCAAGATCGGTGTGATTTGGAAGTATTTGGACAAGATCACGTCAACACAGATTTGATCGAGTGAAGACCTTAGGACAAAGTGGTTTCTTTGCAAGGGAGTAGAGCGAGACGGTGAACTGTGTTCAGGAATCTTAGGGTTTCAACAAGTTGTGCGCTCTGGACAATTGGAGGATTGTAGCCGGGTCACTTTATCAATCTTTGATCAAGGGTTGGAGGTGGAAGAATCAACACAAAATAATAGTGTTTTTTGGGGTTTTCATTCTTCATCTCTTGTATAAATGATTTTATAAAAAAAAAGTTAATAGCAATATCTCAATTCGATTTTGAATAGAGGGCAGATGTACCCATAGCGAGGTCGATTGGAGGAACTGCCTAAATAAATCTCGGTCTTTCTCTCTCTCTCTCTCTCTCTCTCTCTCTCTCTCTCTCTCTCTCTCTCTCTCTCTCTCTCTCTCTCTCTCTCTCTCACTCTCTCTCTCTCTCTCTCTCTCTCTCTCTCTCTCTCTCTCTCTCTCTCTCTCTCTCTCTCTCTCTCTCTCTCTCTCTCTCTCTCTCTCTCTCTCTCTCTCTCTCTCTCTCTCTCTATCTATCTATCTATCTATCTATCTATCTATCTATCTATCTATCTATCTATCTATCTATCTATCTATCTATCTATCTATCTATCTATCTATCTATCTCTATCTCTATCTCTCTCTCTCTCTCTCTCTCTCTCTCTCTCTCTCTCTCTCTCTCTCTATATATATATATATATATATATATATATATATATATATATATATATATATATATATATATATATATATATATATATATATATCTTTATCACTTTTATTATTGATTTCGCAATTTATCGAGTTCATCGTTGTTTGATCAATTCGATTGGAAATTGTTTTCTACTATCTTTTAAAAGTGTTTTTGTTGATATAATCATAATTACTTTGATTGTGATTGGGTTTTAACATCAACAAAACAAATTAAATTTCCAATTATTATTGATTGGACACCAAGTGTTTGATAAATTGTTTGTGTGTATTTTAATTGTGTTTTGGTTCATTAGATATACGAGTTACGATTAACATTGCATTTAATTGATTCGTAGCTTGATTGTTGTTGGACATTTACGTTCATTATCATTTCGTTTGGTTTGTGATATGTATATTGCTTTTTGATAGTATGTTTGGTTAGAAGATTCAATCCGGGTCGTTTTTTCATTGTGCCATATTTTTTAAAATAGATTTTTGGCAAAAGTTTTTGGTTGTAAAGTTAGTGATCTATTCACCCCCTGTAGGTCGAAGCCTATAATCTAACAAACATGACCATACTATCGCAGACACCTCTCAGGCAAGTGTCTAGCAACCATGGTCTCCCACCGCATATAACCTGAATATAATAACGACTTCTCGAACTCACGGTGGACTCTATGACCATTGTTTGGTACCCATATGACATCATATATAGCCAGCGCATCGAGTCTTCTCCTGTACTCAGCAACACCGCTAGGATGTGGATGTCTTGTCTTCCGCGTCTTCGCCTGTGGGGACTCCACCTCGCAATGATGCACCCTCCTGTCATAGATGGTGGAGAAATACTCGTATATCCAGCACTGATATCAAAACAGAGACACAACAAATAATAAATAAGAAATTCTATTCATAAAAATTAAATAAGAAATTAACAACAAATAGTAATTTCAAGTATACATGTAAAAGACTCAAATAGATAGCAAGTTGTTTTCTCTCAAAGAGCGTCATCACTCTAAGGGTTGTATATAGAAGGGTCAACGCAACATACCCCCAAGTTCAACTGGTGTCCTCAAGACTACTAAAGAGGCACGCGTACTGGGCATCGATATAAACACCAGACTTGTCAGCAAAGAGAGTACATGCTACTATATATAGCATGTGCACCCTAACGATAGCCTCATACCTCTTAGCAACTATAAGTTAATTGTATATCTTCCGAAGCTAAGACATACGAAGGTGCATGCCCCTGGTCTTGCCAAACTCCTTTTGGACCTTCGCCTCAGATAATCCCAAATCTCGTGCAATATTCTGATATGTAAGGGGCATGCTAAGAACGGGATTCATCCAGAATCTTCCACAGATAGGGAGATGGAACAATACAGAGACATCATCCAGAGTGATAGTAATCTCCCCAAACGGAAGA